AAAAAAAAAAAAAAAAGCAACAACTAATGCGAAACGCTGCAAGAAGTAACATTTCAAAGTTTGGCATTTTAGATAAAAACTCTACACCTATAATCTATTTTACCAATGTTTTTAACGGGTCAAATTTTCAAATAAGCTAACTTTGGTCAAAACGCCATTATTCAAACAAAGCCAACAACTAAACAAAACTAAAAGCTCTCATAGCATCTCCAATGGTGGGAGTAGACTGACAATTGAATATACGGTCTTCTGTCCACGTGGATTGAATAGAATTGCATGTTGATAAGTAACTCTCCAGTGGTAGATGTCTTTGAACCAGCAAAAAACTTGACGGAACAAACTTTGACAAAATACTATAAATTACTCTTTTACTCAATCATATCCAATGCCCATTATATATTTTTTGAGTAATCAAGTATATTTTTTTTTTTTTGAAGAGCTACCATCCACAACACAACTAATATTCATTTGGTATTTGTACTTTTTTTTTCTGTATTCATCTGTTATTTTTGTTTTTGTATTCATATATTCATTTGGTATTTTGTATTTTCTTGTATCTGGTATGTTTTATAAGAGTATCCGTCTTATATATGTTAATGCACGCTTTTAACAAAATATATATGTTTAATTTATAATATCATTTATACCATTAAATTTAATAATAAAAAAAGTAAATAGGAAGAAAAAATACGACTCATTCAGTCTAGAAAACTTTTCACATGTAGAAGGACTTATAGAATTTTTTAGTCTCTCTCGTGCCACATCATCACAACTAAAAATAAATAACACCACTGGAGAAGTCTTTTTCAACGCCTTCTGCAATTCACATTCCATTGGAGATGCTCTCACAAGTGGAGAATGAGACACTTAACACGAGAATAAGAACAAAAGAAGAAACCGACACAAAACATAAATAAACACACACACACACAAACACACAAAGAAAAACAACCTAATACTAGACTAAGGCCCTCAGCACCTGTCGGAAAATAACCATGAACCGCCACCACACAAACCAGCACCCAACACCATCAACCAAGAAGAAAGTGACCCGGTCCACGGTCCAACACACAATATCTAGAAACTCCCATACGGTTAACTAAATTCGGACCAATGGACCCGTTGCCCTCCCAACCGTTTACCACAGGCTCAACCCAGGAAGACCTGCACAACCTCTCCACGCATAAACCGAAGTCACAACACTGCCGGAGGAACCCACCATCCCGACACGGGGGATAGGCCGGAACAGGAGAAGACCAAGGCACCGACCTTAGCTCCGATTGCCGCAAGGCAACAATCAGAGCCCACCACCAAGAAATCGCTTATGAACCATTGGACCCCACCCCTGCCATGGTCATCGGAAGAGGAGGAACGCCACGAGGAGACAAATAATAAAAGCTCTCTCGGAAGCTTGTAGCCAGCCTGGAGCCGGCCCAGGCGCCAACCATCGCCAAAGAGTTGCAGAGCGTCGGTCGATGGAGAGACGCAGATTGGTACTGAGACAAGGGTTTTGGGAGAAGAGGGAATTGGGAAATATGAAACTCTAGAAATCTACTTGGTCCAATGCAAAAGGGAATTGGTTTTGAATCCCACTGAAATGATTGACTCGACTGCATCAGGTTAGCCTCTATAATAGAGTTTTTTTTTTCGGATGGAAATAATATTATAACACACAAGTAATAATATAAAAAAATACTGACATCCACTTAAGGCAACGCAACTTGGGCTAAACATTACAATACAAAAGTTTGTACAAGCTTGTACAAGCCGGAACAAGACCTAACAAAAGAACAAAGTAAACTAAACAAATCTGTACAAGCCGGAACAAAGTCTTCCTAAAGCGGAACAAGACCAAGACTATCTTCTGATCTCTGCACCATGACAGAACTAACAAATTCGCAGAAGATGGGTCTAGATAACCCTAACTACAACACAAATAATACAAAACAACATAAAACAAAAAAAAAAAAAAATACAAACCAAACACACAACATAAAACAAAAATAAAAATTTAGTTGACTAAAACTCTCCCCAACTTCCAACAAGCTCGACATTGGTAGCACCAATTGTTGTAATATACTGTATAAGCTCGACTTTGTGTAACTTCTAATTCTATTTTGAATGGGATTTATGTTTTTAGTCAAGTGTATGTTGATAGTTTATTCATTGATGCAAACATGATTCCTTTATTTTACATTGTAGATAATATGATTTGATGTGTCGAACAAAAATGTCATATTATCAATTCCTTGTAAAATATAAATATTTGTTAACAGCCCAGACAAAATTGAACTGACTGTCTTGAAAGATTGTACTGTGATTATCAAATTAGTTGACCATTGACGGACGGTTATACTAGTACATCTTGGATGTATACAAACCTAGAGAGGATAAGATTATTTAAAATTGACCAAGTAAATAATCTACTAGAGTAATTGTTGCGTTCTCTTGTCATTGCTCAAGAAGGAGTATAACTAAAGGTGTCTGTCACCCGTTCAACATTGCTAAATTATTTTTGCCATTTACCCAAATTTTAAAACCAATTCTTGATGAAAAATTCATATTCACAAACATGTAGAAGAATCCTTCATTACATTCGCCCCGCAGGCCGTAGCAACAAAGTATCACACACACCACACAACAATGGGATTCAAACAAAGAGAAGAATAATGATTAAATGCTATCATTGACTTTCCAGAGGGAAGCATCGGCAAGGATGCTTCGAGAGATCGTTCTATTTTGATCGACAAGATGGTAAAGTAATGCCTCCACATGCAGCCGCAATTATGAAATACAGAAGTAACACAATCAATAACGTCAGCACGACCCTGTGATCATACCAGAAATATTATAATGCTTAATAGTGATATCAACACAATCAACTGACAGTTTATACACCCATTCTACAATTTTGATAGGCATCTGATTCTGCAGTTAAGCAACTACACCGAAGAACAAGAGATCTCTATATTTTACTAAAACGAGAGAGAGAGAGAGAGAGAGAGAATAAAAGACAATGCAGTTATCTTTTATTGAAGATTATATAGATTTAAATTGCATTTGATATCATTGCATAAAGCCAACTTACAGGGTTTTGACTAGATGCACTATGATTCATAGAATCTAGGGATTACACTTTCAACTCAATTAGAATGATTTTGTTGCTATAATCATGGATTGCATCAAGAAGATCTTCTAGCATCATATGTTCATATTATATTTGTATTGTATATTTGTATCCATTCAATGTGATGATAAAAAATGTTTTTCTCCTCACGAATTGTCTACAAACTAATAATATTGAATATTCCATGTGAGCTGCCGACAAATTCCCTGAGCAATCAAGACTTGTGGCTACTAAGCTACCTGATCGATTAATGACCATGATCATGTACAAAAAATATAAAGTACGTAAAGGATATGCCTGTTTCGTAACTCCAAAACTACTTGTTGCGGATGAACTATAAAGAGAGTTTTGTCATAGAGAAGGACCTCAAGAAAGTAGGGCATCAAGCAAGCATTTGTTTTGTTTTTTCCATTAAAATAAGAAAGTTCCCCTCGCTGTGAGGTTCACCATTTGGAACAGCCGTAGTAAAAATTGAATAAAAATTAACATTATAAAAGAGCCTATTCATTGCAAAGTTCAAAAATACACATCCAAGATATAAGATTGAGAAAAATGTGTGCTTGCCAAAATTCTATTGTCCTGTGTCTAACTTTTTCAAAGTGAAGTGCAAAAAATATTCCCAGTGTTGCACAAAATTTCTACAAGCCTCATCAATGTTTCCTTTTTTATTAATTTTTTTATTTGGTCACTTTTAAATTAAAATTCTATGGAAACTAATATCATCTCGCAAGTAACAAACTTAATTGATGCTTTTTTTGCTTTGATAAAATTAACAATCCCCACAAAAGGTGCTCTGCCTAAATTTCATAAGTGAATCTGACTTCATATGTAACATTATGACACTTACAATAGCTTGGCATTTTTCATCCACAGAGCTCGACGAAGGCGCTTTGATTGCTTCCTGAAGTGAAAGGCACTATCTTGCATGGTTGCTGTTTTGTCAACAAGAAGCTCAATCCTGTCACCTCTCTCAAGTATCTTGTCAATGTTATCCACCATTATTGTACGTACCTGCATCATGTTTCAGGTATTTACTCACGAAAATGCAAAATGATGACAATAATTGCCAAGGGCTCTCTGGACCCATACACAAGTCAGACAAAATATAAAAAAAATAATCTTCAAAATATCAAAATTATTGGATCTCTCTCTCTCTCTATCTCTCTCTCTCTCTCTATCTCTCTCTCTCTCTCTCTCTCTCTCTCTCTCTCTCTCTCTCTCTCTCTCTCTCTCTCTCTCTCTCTCTCTCTCTCTCTCTCTCTCTCTCTCTCTCTCTCTCTCTCTCTCCTCTCTTGCTTATGATCCTAGTTATTTAATACAATAATCAATATTGATCATATAATTCTAGATTATGTTACATGGCATGGTACTCAACCTATTATCCAATTTATTTCCTCTTTATCTCTTAGATGTCCAATAAAATCCAGCTTCTGAAAAAATCAATGCAGAAGACAAGTACACTCCAGGTATAAACTGAAGAGATTCTTGCAAGTTTTTTTGAGCCAAAAGAGTTTTCCACCTTATCTGAGTAAAAACTTCTAAACAAATCTAATAAGAAACAGAGAATGCTTTCCATGCACATTTATAGTAGAATTCAGAAAACAAGACTCATTTTTACACAATAAAAGAGAACAGCAAATATAAAATAAATCAAATTCCCAGGAAATCCAGCCCCGAGAAATTCATCATAACTCACAACTGTAATGCAATTGATATCTACTAATCAGAAATGGTATCATAGTAAGTCCCGTGAGTAAGATGATCTCCAGAAATAATCTCACCACATGGGCCACGGCACTTGAATACTAAAACACATATCAGAATCTCTATTAACAGTTTATTTCCAAATCTAAAGATGACAAACAGGAGATGGTGGCATGCAAAAACTTACCTCATTAACTTCTCCTCGGACACGGCTGAGTGTATCAGCACTGGGATTACTAGAAAAAAACTCCATTTGTTGATGCAACACTCTCGAGAATTCATCATTCATAGCATAAGCAGGTGCAGCATGAGCAACTCTCCCATAATTCTTCATAAATCTCATTCGAATATCCTCCAAGTACGAGAATGGGATTCTTCCTGAAGGGAGCATCAAAATAGGAACCATGTCATACCATTCTACATGATATATATGCAGAGAGCACACAAAATACAGATAAACACACAGAAAATGAAATAGCCCATCGAAAATAACATTTAACCTCGCCAATGGGGACCAGGCTTCAACATTAGTGAACCACATCATTCATGCATATCTAATACAGTGAGGAACACTAGTGAAAAAGTTACAATATTGTAGGTCCATATTATTCAGAATGTGACATTCAGCAAGCTCAATGTACAGTCACTACACATAAAAGATCAAGATTCGATTGAGAAGAAGCCAATTCATGATTGTATTAGTGCAAACTTTCGGACTTCTGTATACCTTAAAATATAACAAACAAGATATAGTTTTAATCATACACACGCACAACCCAAAATAAAACAAAAAAGCCCCATTTGGGTACTCCAAGAAATCAAATCAATTTGCCACACAAGTGAAGCCAGAACTTATACACACTATCACAAAATAAACAAATCAAGCGAGAGCATCAATAGAGTGGCCTAACACACAAGACAACATAGTAAACCCTAATCCACAAAAACCAAAAACCTACAACGAAATTCTAAGCGGAAAAAATAAAGAGCATTCTTTGTCGGAATAGAGCCTTACGTCCGAAGGTATCGTTGGCCATACAGAGGAAAGTAAGTCCATCTGACCGGAGGATGTGAAAGATGTACCGATCCTGCGAGAAGCACAGCCTCGACTCGGCTGGTTCAGTATCGAAGAGCTTCTCCAGTATCCGGCGGACCACAGCGCCGGTATTTCCCGTGACGGCACTGAACTCCGCGAGAACCGTCGTCCCACGCGCCACCAGCCCGTACAGAATCGCCATCGCCCTCGTTTTTCAAGTGAATAATTACAGCGATTAAATCGATTTTCAAAAATTTGTAACAGTCGTCAAAAAACCGAAGTGATGATGTCGATATCTATTGGCAGAAAATAAGCAGCAGTAGTAAATCTGACGTAAAAAGTCATTTGAATTTTCAATCTTAACCATAACTAATTATAAGATGTTCACTTTCTAAATTTTCTAATTAATAAGCGCCTTTTTCTCTCTCTTGAGAGTGGTTCAATTCTCGCTTTCGAGATAGTTATCGTCTTTCCGAGAGTGTTCCTCATCTTCGGGGGGAGAGTGTGGGTTCTTGGTGAGAGGATTGACTGCTTGCTTTGAGTTTTAGGGTGGGTTTGAGGTGGTCTCAAATTTCTGTGTGGAATCCCGACATTTAGGGATTTACAGTAGGAGTTCCCATGGCGAAAGAGAGTGATGTTATTGAGTCTCTGTTGGAAAATTTCTCGTTGTCGGAAAATGAAATCTCTTTTATCGACATTGAAGATCGAGACGTTCGTACCAGTGCTGAGGAATGCGGCAGGAGTCTTTTCGGCAAAATAGCCGGGGAGAAAAGAGCCAATTGGATTGGAATAAGAAGAGCAATGGCCCAAGCTTGGAAGGTAGGCAATGCTTTGGAGGTGCGGGAACTTGAAGATAACTATTTTCAGTTCATTTTTCAATCAAAAATGACAAAGAAAGGGTGGACTTGAATAGAAATTGGGTATTTGACAATCAATACCTTGTTTTACAAGAATGAAAAGAAGGTTTGAAAAGCAGTGATGAGTGTTTTGACACCTTAAATCTCTGGATCCAAGTGCATAACGTACCTCTCAATTGGATATGCACTGAGGTGGGGCTGAAGTTAAGAAGAATGTTCAAAGGGATAAAGAATGTTCATATAGCCAAAATAGAGAATCAGGGAGGACGAGTTTTGAGGATTTGGGCTACTCTCAACCTTAAAGAGCCAATTCCTAGATGGGCACATATAAGGCTGGGGGACAATGCTGTCTTGGTTCAGTTTAAATATGAAAAGTTGATCAATCTGTGCTATTACTGTGGGAGAATTGGCCATTTAGACAAAAACTGCAACAAGAAGATCAGGGATATAGAGAAGAATGAAATGAAGGGGGGCAATATGGTGAGTGGGTTAAAGCTGCAGAAGGAGTTCATTGGTCAGATTCTCCAAACCCCAGCAATCAAACTCAACCAAAGGATCAGAATGATGGAGGGGACAATGTTCATGGCAGCTCATCTAGAAATGAGGTAGAAGAGAGGGGATCATCCAATAGAATAGAGGAATTGCAGCTTCAACTTCAAAGCTCCAATGAAATTCAGATGAAGCAAGCAGCAGTTGAAGCTCCCGAAGAAATTGTTGATGTTGAGGCAATTACTCAGCCTACTCATGATGAACAAATCAACCAAATATCTGCCATAATTCCATCTGAGAGAACCAAGGAGATAGCTACATCAGTGTTAATCTGTGAGGGCCAAAAAGAAACAGAGATGACTGAAACACTGATCACAAGGCCTAGAACATGGAAGAGGAAGGCAGACAAAACAGGTAGATTACAAAGAAAGCAAACCTCTGGGGAAAAGTCTGATATTATTGGGGAGAGAAAGAGACCTTCCACTGACTTGACCATATTCCAACATGAAATTGAAGAGAACAAGGAGAATCCAGAGGAGAGGAAGAAAGCAAAAACTCAGTCCAAAATGGTGGAGAAAGCCAACCAGAAATGGCTCCACCCTCCCCAATGAAAGCCATGGTGTGGAACTGCAGAGGGCTGGGTGGGCCCTCCACAGTTCCCCAATTGCGAGAGTCTTTGAAGACTCACCATCCAGATTTTGTGTTCTTATCAGAGGTAAAAAAAACAAAAAGATTTTGTGGCTAGGGTCTGTAAATCCCTAGGTTTTGAAGATAGATGGTTTTACTGGGAGCCGGATGGAATAAAGGAGGTCTTCTCCTTTGCTGGGAAAAAGAAGTTGAGGTTTTGCAGATTAAAGGGCAGAAATTTTGTATCCAAACTCAATACAAGAAACATCCAATGGATAGTGGATCAACTGTGTGTACCTGAGCACATTGAAACAAGAGATAGAACAACAATGGTTGTGCTTACAAAAGGACAAAGATCAATGGGGAGAAGATTGGGTGATAATCAGAGACTGGAATGATATATGTTGCAAGGAGGAGAAGAAGGGAGGCATTCTAAGAAGTGAGAAAAGTTTTGAAAAGTTCAAAAACTTTATTGCTCAGATGGGTATGTCTCTCATATCAATGGAGGGATACAACTACACATCGGGAAACGACAGAGAAGATGAGGGATATGTGGAGAAAGTCCTTGATAAGGGGTTTGGTTCTTTAAGCTAGGTGAATGGCCATCCTCAGGCAAAAATTTCTAATATCTTTATAAGCTCTTCTGATCATGGCATGTTGTTACTTCACAGTGAGTTTGAGGTTAAGCACCACAAGGCCATAGTTGTTTTTTATAAGAGGTGGATTCAGAGGGGAGATATCAAAGAAGTGGTGAGTTCAGCATGGAGAGAAGAGTTTGGCACTCCTTTTTTTATTCTGAAGGAGAAAATAAAGAAAACAAGGTTGGCTTTGAGCAAGTGGAACAGAGGCTTCAGGGCTGAGCAAAAGGGTAAAATTGAGAGATTGACTCTGTCTTTGGAAGAGATGAGAAAGCTAGGAGGGGGGAGGAATTGGGAAGGGTGGGAATCTATCCAGGCAGAGCTTGATGCAACTTTATTATCTGAAGAAAAATTTTGGCAACAAAAGTCTAGAATCCTGTGGCTGGGAGAGAGAGACCGCAATACTAAATTCTTTCATGCGATGACTATCCACAGAAGAAAGAAAAATGCCATATCTAGGCTGGTTGAGGGCAGCAGAAACTTTGAAACTACTTAAGCCATTGAGGAACATGTGATTGAATTCTATGAACACTTGTTCACCTCTGAAGGCTCCAGTGATGAGGAAGAAGCCTTATGCAACATAAAACCAGTAATCACTCAGGCTATGAATGATGATCTTACTAAAGCAGTGGAGAAGGATGAGATCAAATGTGCCTTGTTTCTGATGAACCCCCTCAAGGCTCCTGGTGAAGATGGGATGACTGCCCTTTTTTACCAGCATTTCTGGCCAGAGACTGAGAATGAGGTGTGTACTGCAGTGACTACTTTCTTTGAATCAGGCCAAATCTTAAGGTACTGGAACCAAACCTTGGTTGCTTTAATTCCTAAGTGTCCTACTCCTATCTCTTTGAGTCAGTTCAGGCCAATAAGCTTATGTGGAGTAGTATACAAGATAGTGTCTAAAATTTTAGCTACCAGACTGAAATGTTGCCTTGATGTTTGTGTCCACCCTGCTCAAGCTGCTTTTATCCATAGCAGACTAATGGATAATATTATAATAGCCCAGGAAAGCTTTCATTATCTAAACAGAAACAGAACTGGACCTCATCATTTTATGGCTCCGAAATTAGACATGCTAAAAACTTATGACAGAGTGGAATGGAGGTGTGTGAAAAAAAACAATGGAGAAGATGGGCTTTGCTGCTGGTTTTATCAAATGGATTATGGCCTGTATAACCACTTCTTCTTTCTCTTTTCTGGTAAATGGCAAGGCTGTGGGTCACATTCTCCAACTAGGGGGTTGAGGTAGGGTGATCCAATATCACCCTACCTTTTCCTTTTGGTCTCAGAGGTCTTATCATCTCTTATTCAATTGGCAGCTGAGAGAGGGCTTTTCAGAGGTTTGAGAATTGCTAAGGGTTCCCCAACCATCACCCATCTATTGTTTGCGGATGATTCTCTGGTTTTTTGCAAGGCTGACCATGATCAAGTTCTAAGATTGCTCCATATTCTGCAGACTTATCACAACTTCTCTGGCCAAAGGGTCAACTTGTCAAAATCAACTGTTTTCTTTAGCAGGAATACACCCCAATCAGTCAAGGAGCAACTGTGTTTACTGCTAGAAGGTGTCCAAGATCATAATTCAACAAGATATCTGGGATTGCCATTGGGGATTGGAAAGTTAAAGAAGGAAGCTTTTGATTTTATTCTGCAGGCTGTGAGAAAAAGACTGGTTGGTTGGCAAAATTCTTACCTCTCTTCTGCTGGGAAGGAAGTTTTGGTCAAAGCTGTCATTAATGCCTTGCCAGTCTTTGCTATGAGTTGTTTTAAGCTGCATGTATACATTTGTACTGAACTGCCTCTTTCTAGTGGAGTAAAGGTACAAAGTTAGAAAAAAGGATTCACTGGAAACAGTGGAATAAGAATACTGTGCCAAAGCCAAATGGAGGGTTGGGATTCCTTGATTACAAGCTTTTTTAATGAAGCTTTGATTTTGAAACAGCTATGGAGAATTACTACTCATCCTGAACTTCTTGTGAGCAAATTGATCAAAGCCAGATACTATCCTGCAACTTCCATTTTTGAAGCAAAAAGGATGAGTTCAGCATCTTGGCTCTGGAACAACTAGGTTGACATTATCCCCTTATTAGCTAAGGGACTGTGCAGAGAAGTTAGAAATAGCAGGGAGACAAAGATCACAGACCACAAGTGGGTTCCAACTCTCAACCATATGAGCCCAAGACCGCTGGAAAATGAGCAAAATTCCTTACATTGGGTCCATGACTTAATCACTGAAGATGGAAGTAAATTGAATACTCACATTCTTGAAGAATTCTTTCAAGAAAGTGACAGAAGGGCCATAATGAGAATAGATACTCTGAATGCTGAGCTGCCTGATAGATGGAAATGGAGTCTTGACAAGAAAGGAAGATTTTCTGTAGCAGGATCTTACAAGTTGTTAATGGCAAACAAAGTTGTGAGTTTGGATATTGCAGAAAGTAGCTATTCAAGGGGTAAGGACAAGCAAATCAGGGAGAGGAGCTGGAAAATGAGAGTGAAAGGAAAAGTGAAGCACTTCATCTGAAAGTGCTTCAATGGCATTCTTCCTGTCTGTGTGAATCTTGCTAAGAAAGGCATTCAAGTGGATTTCA